ATATGCTGACTCTGTAAACCGCTTAGAGAGGGCTGAAAGCCCTATGAAGCGGTATATAAGTCTAACTGCTATTGCTATTGCTATATTCTTTGATTTCTCCCCCCTCCCATTCAACAAAATCCCAAATCAGGGATCAACAGGATCCTCGGGCGGGGGAAAAAAAACCAACGGTTTCTTCTTTTCTCCTTCCTGGACAGATAGCACGGTTTCGCACCTGGCTCTCCCCGAACGGAGTCTTCCCCCGGATCGCCTCTCCCCGGATTCTCAGCTGCCCGATGGGGCGGACAGGAGCTCCGATTCGGCCCCCAGCTGTGAAAGCAGCAGCGTGTGTGATCCGGCCGCCGAGATGGAGGATTTTTGGAGACCGCCCTCCCCCTCGGCCTCCCCAGGTAGGGATGGAAAGAGGCGGCGGAGGGGAGACGGGGGGCGCTTTGAACGAGGGCGCGTTCCCGGTGGATGAACCCCGAAGTAGCCAGCCGCTTGCGATCCGCGTACCCGAGACGGTTGGGTTAATTCAGAAGACCGCGATTAAAGCTGGCCAACCTAGCGTATTGAAAAAGCCACCCGGAGGGCTGTTTTGAGAAAATCATAATAGATGGGTCTTTTTTTAAAAAAAATGGGGGGGGGGAGAGAAGAAGAGAGGGAGCTTTAAAGAGCTTAACCCGACTTTTCGCTGCGTCCTATGTCAAGGTAGTCGTTTTCTCCGTTGTTCTTGAGTTGGTGGAAGTCAATGTCTCAAGTCGTGCGGTCGCCGTTAAGCGGCTTAGTTTGATCGCTTTAGCGTCGATCCATTTCATCCTTTGAAATGCGCAGTGAATGGTGCTTCCGTCTTTGGGCCAGGGGCTCCTTAAAGGTCTACGTTAAAGGGTGGTCTTCGGTTTCCTGCTAAGAGGACCGTGTCCTTTTGAGTTCAGCGAGGGTCCCTGCCAGAGGAGCCTGGCTGGAATTGGGGGGGGGGTTTGAACCTTAGGTGCCTGGAGTCCTCCTTATGCAAGAAGTCCTCCCCTGTCCTCCAGGGACCGCGAGGGAGGGAACGAGGCTTTCCCTTGTTGCCCCCACAAATGGTTCCCAAGAGCGTTTCTTTCTTCAAAGAACTCCCAGCCTACTTACTTAAGTTTTGGTGTAACGTGGGGAACCCATCTCCTCGAAAGAAAAGGATACGGTTGGGGATAGGGAAAAGAAGAGGAGGCACATTGGGGCGAAAAAAATGAACGAAGCCCCTGCATGCAGTATTGCAGGCTGACTCTGCTCATTGCCAGGAGTTCGATCCTGACCGGCTCAAGGTTGACTCATCCTTCCATCCTTCCGAGGTGGGTAAAAAATGAGGACCCAGATTGTTGGGGGCAATAGGCTGACTCTGTAAACCGTTTAGAGAGGGCTGTAAAAGCACCCTAAAGCGGTATATAAGTCTAAGACCTATTGCTACCTTGGAACCCACTGCGCCACATTAGATCGAACCGGACTCTCCTGGCGAAATCCCCCCGGCGGGTTGGGGAAAGCCGCAAAGCCGCGGAGGGGTGGTGGTAGACGCGTGCAGGTGGGTTTAAGCGACGGGCTGGCGTTCCCTATCAGGAAAGCGTTGAAAAGAGCCCAACTTTCCTCTTTGGTGGGAAAGTGACAGGAGCGGAGAAAGAAAAAGGCGCCTCTGATTGACAGGCGTCTTTCCTTTCGCCTCCTCGCCGGTCCCAGAAGAAGCCTCGACGGTGACCGCGGCTCTTTCTGGCGACCGTTCCGGAGAAGCGCCGTCTCGGGTGGCTCCTTCGGCCTTTGATGTGGCGAGACGCGGGAGGAAGCCGCTCGCCAAGGCCGATCTCTTAGCAAGCCGTTTTCCCTCCGTTTCCCTCTCCCCTCCTTGTCTTGGTTGAACTACCAAAACAAACTTCCTCTTTTTTCAAGAGCCGGTTGAGAAGTTTTACTCCTGGAATAAGAAAAGCGTAAAAAGAGAGAGAGAGAGAGAGAGAGAGAGAGAGAGAGAGAGAG